TTGGAGAAGCAAGCTCTATTTACTGAGTCACAGAAGACAACTTATAAAAAATTTATATTCTGTTATTTTAAATAAAGGTTCATAGAAGTCAAATACTACATCTTCTGTTATGACATTTTGATTGATGTATTATTTCTCAGCTCAGATATTTATCAAAGAAAGAATTTTACAAAACTTATAGTACACCTAATAAATATCGATGTTAGTGAACGTTTTATTTTATTACAATTTACTTCATAATATTCTACATTGTAGTTATCATTTGTTTTTATTTATTCATCTTTTGATGAGCATTATTTCATGGGGTGATCTTTTCGTATGATTAAAATATTAATAATTTAGGTTTTTGTTTTGAAATAAATTAAAACAAAAGAAAGTTATTATCCGATATCCTAAGCGTAGTATAGATAGATCTCACATTTTGTCCGATCCAATTCTTTTAGGTACTCCATGAAAGTATCATCGAAAGTTTAGTTGATTCATATTTTCTTTCAATACACACTCAAATCCGTTAACAAACTTTTTTATCTATTATTTTACTTGTTGACAGTCAAGTTTTTATTTAAAAGTTTATTTTCATCAGTAATTGCAAGTTAAACCTTGGCTATCGAGTTCATTACAATAAAGTGTTTATTTAGCATACATAGTACCGAACAAAACAAAAAACATATTACTGAATAAAATGATTGTGAACTTGCAAATGTCACAATGAAAATCATTGGTCTGTAGACATACATTTTCATAGTTGAATTCGATTTATATGTGTTTTTATGCAATATACTTTACAAATGTCTAGGACATAATATTTATACTAGGAATACATCAGAAATGGATCGTATGATTTTTTTAAAATCATCAATTGATACTACGTATAATTCAGTAACCGAAACTATGAAAAAAAGAATGGACACGAATATAATATTTATATAGGAAAAAAACCAGTTATATTTGATGAATTTGATATAATACATGGTGGATTAATAACGATACCGAAATATATTTCTTGTTTGGTACTAATAAATAATGGATTTTCTTTTGTCCACTAAGAATAAAGACGCAAGCTAAATTTCTTTTAATAAAAAACGGATGAGTAAACTATACTTTTAAAACTACGCAACGGTGAAACTGTAAGTTAGATTTTAAAAGACAATAGAAGTTATGAATAAAAAAGTCACAAACAAAAAATCTATTTGTATTCTATTATATATTTGTTTTTAACTGAGTTGATACAACTTTCCAATTAAATCAGATTACAGGGCGATCCATCATAAGTAACTTTACGATGAAAAATTTGAATATCTCCACTCTGTTCCATTCTATAGAGCTAATTCTTTTTCGTGATAGAGGAGCCTTCAGAGTTTTTTTTGCATAAGAACTTTATGGCCTTACAGATCCTAACATGAATCTAAAATTTCGAAGTATATTCTTTCGAAACCTCTATAGAAACGAACATCAGCAAGGATAGATATTAAGTAACTCTCGCTTTCACTTCATTGTACTTCAGAAAAGACAGATATGTATATTGATGGTTAGAAAAAAAAACAACCATGCATTGTACAACAAAACACACGATCGAATATGTTCGTCGAAGGACAAATTTTTGCATGTATGAATCTGTTAGAGTCATCGTAATTCATTATTGAAGCCAATGATGATATTTCAAAGCGATATTTATAAATGTTGTCCTTATAGAAAAGAAACTCTGAAGTCTTCTCTATCACGGAAAAGGAAATTAGTTTCGTAGAGTGGAACAGAGTGAAGATATTCAAATTTTTTATCGTAAAGCTATTGATGGACCACTCTGTATAACTACGCACATTCCACAAATAGAAACAAGGAAAACATTTTGAAACAATATTAATGAGAATTATATAGTCCATTGAATTGTTAGAATGCATTAACTATCTAATTCGATTGTTATGTCACATTCAAATTTAATTACCTTCATTATAACCGTTTAGCAATCGAAGCACAAGAATGATTAGCGTAGCACCTGTAAAGATGGTCGAATGCTTATTAATTACTAGCGGAGAGAAGTATTATCTTATCACGTATACATACATATTGCTTTATTGTTTCAAGCATCGAATATATATATAGATGAGCCTAGAGTAGGAAAACATTCATGAATAAATGGTAGAGAGAAAAACTCATTGGAGAGTAAGAGTGAGAACATTCATGATCACAATATTGTAAGAAAAGACAAGGAAAACGAATGTACGTGAGCATACTTGAAAAGACAACCTATACATATCCACGTATGACAGCAGAACGAAACGAGATATAGATAGGATATCCATCTATACGGACTTCACAACGATAATACAGAGAAAAAGATGATGCATAAAGGATGATATCACTTAACAAACCAGGCATAGTCATTTTCTCATGATTACATGCTTTCTCAAGAGATTGAATTCAATGACAATACTCACTATACAGTTTAGGAAGCAGAAAACGTTCTTGGTATATAGGCATTCAATTGTAAAACTACATGAATGTACAAATGTCAAACACAATTCATATCTATTAGTGATACAAAACAAATGGCGATCTTATTATTTAATTAATACATCAGTTACTGTTTATCTTTTACTCTTATTTTCCTCAAAAGATTGATAATGCAATTCTACACAGTAGAAAAGTCTGGTATATTCTACTCAATAAATACATTTCTTTGTATTCATAGAATGTCATATGATTAAGAATTAGCATCTCAAAATAACTCTAAAACTCTTCAATCTTCTTACAATTTTCTCGGAAAATATCTCATTCTTGACATATATTCACAACTTTTGTTGTGAAATACTCTTAACTTATAAGATGAATGAATGCAAGTTACATAATATTATAAGAATCAATTTAGTTAACTAGTTGAGTACAGAATGTGTCATAACAAGAGATGTTAACATGCATCAAGAATGAAATGTTTTTCATAAAAAATTGAAGATTTTTTAATTTATTTGAGATAATAACTTCAATTATATTACAGTTTTTTGAATGGAAAGAAAGAGCTTTTGTTGAATAGAATATGCAACTTTGTTCAGAATTACATAGGAAATCTTCTAGGAAGAAAATTGAACTGCCAAGGATAAAAATGGTCGAGATAGGAATAGGGTACTAAGACAATCCTTTATTCTGAATCACTAATTATTGTATTAATAAAACTAATTTATATAAACTTATAAAATAAATTCTTGAACTTTAAACATAAAGACACATTTAATAATTTAACCATGTTACTATTATTCTCATTTTCTTTATGACGTATATATTAAGTAAAATAAGCTTTCTTTCTATCAATGAATTTTTTAGAAGTACATATTCAAAAGCTTTTTATTTATTTATTCAATCGACGAAATAGAATTATTTTTTTTTTATAATATATCTCCGACATTATTTCTATCTAAAGAACTATGATGGAACACAATAGAAGTACTATATTAGAATACATTAATCGATATACTAGTCATTATTCTTTTCAGATTCTTTATCGATTAGTCAAGATTCTGTTTAATTTTGAATTTCAAATAAAGTTCTTTTTTTTTTTCGTTGAAAAGACTTTCTGTTTTAACTTCAAGATAACTGTTATATGATGCATATGCATATATGTATATAAACATCTCTCTATTATTTATTCAGTTCTACTTGATGATAGTGAAATAGTTATTATATTTCATTTAATGAATAAAAAATATTCTATTCAGAAAATGTACCAATGAAAAGTCATAATGATAGATGAGCCTTTGTCAATTTTCAGGTGATGATTATGATGGCGACGAATTATAATCAAAGATGTAAATTTTTTATGTAAATAGATTATACTTATTATGCATTTCTTTTGTCTGCTTGTTGATGAGTATGTCATATTTGCCAAATAATTAAGGGATTGAATTCTTTTCTTTGTTTTTTCTTTAATGTAAATCTTCTGTATTTCGTCTTTTTTGTATTTCATCTAAAGTTGCACGAACTTGAATATATTCTTGTTATACTGATTATTTTATTTTTGCTTTTTTTTTTGTGGATTTTATTATAAGATTGAAGGACGAATATAGAAGTAACGAAGAATACAAGAGTGCTATTGATCTCAAGAAGACGTTACATTTCAATCAAAGGAACCATAAGAGCATTCAAGAATATAAGAATCTTGCTTAGAAAAATAGTTCTTGTCTCGTCAGACAAGATTCAAACAAAGTAGATCTCGTCAGAAAGTCATTATGTGTTTTTTCAAAGCAGAATTCTTTGATAAAATATCAAAAGAAAGAATTTTTAATGAGTCTCAGGCAAAATAATAAGCTGAACAAAATTAATTTCAACAAACATTAGTAAGCATAATGTATATTCTTATAGATGATGTTACTTTCCGACGAACTCATTATATGATAGACAAAACTGAATAGAACATAGTTGATTAGTTCCATTTGCTTTTCATTCTATTGACAAGCTCATTTGTTTATAACATAATATAATAAGGAAGTGCGATATCCATCATTCTGATTTCACACTTAAAAGAGTATCTTTCAAGTAAAACAAGAGAAAACTAATTCATATATTCTAGCTAATTTACTTTTGTATTTGTGTTTCTTTAGAAAAATGAAAAAAAAGTATTTCTTTGTATATAAGAAAAACAAAAAATATAGCAATTTCTCATTTGAAAAAACAATTGATTTTGCTTGGAACTTTTTCATAGTATAGAAAGAAAAATAAAATAAAAGCATTGTCGTGTCTTTTTAGAAGATAGCATAGCATTGTATCCTGAACGGATATTACTTTTTTCATCAAAAGAATATTAACTAGATTTTGCAAAAAAAGAAAACAACCATGCAGTTTGTTGTCTTATCATAGTTTTTAAGTAATAGTCTATGATAGAATTTGTTTTTGATAGACAACATAGACAACATAATGAACTTTAGAAGCTACAACATTTAATTGTATAAATATACATAGAAAAAACAACACAAAAATAGTTAAATATATATATATATATATATATATTTAGGTTACACCATATTTCTTAAATTATCCAATGGTTGTTGTAGTCTTTGTCGTTGTATGGCATCTTCATATGTTGTTGTAGAATAAGATTTAGCTTTACGTTCAAATAAACGTATAACTGAACGTTGAAATGTATATGATATACAAAAGTAAACAGGAAAATTAATTGCTGAATTAAATGTAACAAAAAAATCTGTAATTTCTCGTATAGCTCGTTTTTTATATGATTCATCAATATAACCCATATTAAGTATAAGTGATAGAAGCGCATCAGGAAAATAACAACAAATAAAACATCCAATAATAATAATAAGACTTATTGTTAAACGATAAAATGCTGTACCTGTTGATGATTTCATACGACAAAGTAAATAAACAATACGTGTATTTAAATAAAAAAGTAATAAGGACGGAATAATTGCTCGAATAAGATCAAATGTAATTGAATAAGCACGAAATAAACGTGAACTACCAAATTTTGATAAACGTAGTGGCGAATCGGAATTAATTAAAGTTTGATTGATTGTTGATGATGGAACAATTTCATAACGAAATGAAACAGGTAAAGCAACAATAAGACTACAGAATATAATTGAATAACATATAATACGAGAATTTTTTTGAACAATAACACGTTTTTGACTATTTCCACTACATAATACATATCTATAAATATTTAAACAAAAGAAAAAAAATTTCAACATATATTTTGTAATTAATTAAAAGAATTTTACCTTTCTATAGCTACAATTAGTGTAAGCCATGCTGCACATAATGTTGAAACTGTATTTATATAATGACAATAACGATAAAGTATAAGAAATAATTTTTTTCCATATTGTTGATCAAATGCTTGAATAATAAGTACAATAGAATAGAGTAAATCATTTGAAAGTTTGATTGTATCCGATATAGCCAAAAAAAGAAGAAATTGTGTTGTAAGAAATCGTTGCATACTATTTGTAATAAATACAATTATACATAATATATTACCAATAAGACCAGGTAAACAAACAATTGGTATAATATATAAACCAAAAATTATTTGAATATTTTCAAAGAATTCTTTATCTTTATTATTATTCATTATATTTGTGTGATTTGTTTCAATGTTCATTGTTTCTTCTAAATAGAATTAATTATATTGAACATGAAATATATGACTTGAACGAGTAAAAAAAGATGTGAATATTGATGTGTGAGTGGAAAAGAAACAGCTATAATAAAAGATTTACAGGATAGCCAGTGCAAACGATAAAAAGAGAAAAAAAAAGAAAAAAAACCATCTATTGCACATGCTACAATCACGACATTGTTTTTCTTCGATTATTACTGTCGAAGATGACATTCTAGGGTTGACATTATCCGCTAAAGAAATGACAAATATGAAGTTGGATTATGGAAAATATTCCATCTAACAAATTTCATTATTGTCTTTTTTCTCAATCTAACTCATGGCTGTTATCTACAGCATGCATAAAAATAAAACTATAAAAAAGAAGCGAATGCATTGATAGATGTCAATATAATATTTGACATCATTATTAACTCTTTAGTTACTGACAAAAGGTAAACACATGTAAAATAGAGCGGCTTTACACTACACACACATTTCCGTTTCTGAACGTAGGACTCTAACATAGATCGTAAAAAAGTGATAATATTGAAAGCTCCTACTGTTTGACGTTTGTTTTTACGGAAATTTAGCAAAAAAACAATATGCGTTATAAGTGATTACATTACTCTCACCTGGTGAGAAATCACATGACGCATATATGTGTTGCTGGTCACTAAAGAATTAATATACAATAAAGTACGCAAAGAATGATCATTTAACGATAAAAGATACGAAATAATAGAATGACAAAAGAAGAATAGCAAGCAATGTCTATTGTTACTGTAATAACACATATGAAGCCGAATTTGTAATTACAACAAATTAATGATATGTTAGGTGAAATATAATTTTGTTTCATTAGAAAAGAAAAAACTTTTAGTAACTATATTCAACATGACATTGGTGATAATAATATAGAAGCACATAGCTCAAGAAGGTAGACATAATATTAAACTCGCATGCAAGTATGACGTCATCAAATAATTATGATGATATTAAATGATAATTAGTTTTTATTTATGTGACGAGAGAATGATAGAGAAAACGTTCTTCATAAAAAAGAAAAACACCTATGAATTTCTTCGGCTTTTCCTTATGAACTTAGATCGAACTCATCATATGTTGGAAAATCATAGTTTCTTTCATAATTAATAGTAAAAAAAAATGCATCTCAAGTCTGTCGCAAATTTCATTGAGTTTCTATAAAAAAAGAAAACATGGTAAAGAATTTGAAAGTATCTCATTTTCTCCAAAGTCGATTGCTGAAGCTTTTAATATATTGTAAATAGAGAAACTTGTTCAACTACCTCATTCTACGTATTGGAAGAGAAATTATGTGATTAAACGCTCTTCTACTTGATCTATCGTATGATTGATATGAAGAAAACTTATCTCAAAAAAAAAAAACAGCGACAATTACAAAGAAATTCTGCGCACCATTAGTGGAGAAAGAATGTTTTACAAGAATTAGACTCTAAAATGATTTTGTGTTCTTATTTAATAAAATATAAAAAGATCATCGGTCCGAATAAAAAAAAGAAGAAGACAAATGCTTTTTTTTCTCGGTTCGTTTAATATATATATTACTAGGCGTAAGAACTAGATTAGACAAAGAAAACAGTAGATTTCTATCAAGCATAATAATAGCTTATTGTAGACAAATTACAATTTGTCAATGATTTAGAATTTTAGCCTGTAGTTCAAAAAGCTTAGTAATTAACTCGTTCAGCTGCCTCTACTATTCGAAATAGAATGACTAATGTTTATTACAAGAGTATTCATTGAATAGCACCGGAAATGAATATACAAGCATCATCTCAAAGTTTTCTTATCATTATATTGTAAGAGAAATGCACGAATGGGTATGATTTAGTTATATTTATCATAAATTCGTGAATAGATATTCAATGAAAATAAAAAAGAACTAAGATCAATATATTAGAATTACTTCGATGAATTTATTTATAGATTTCAAATCTTCTTAAACAAAAAAAAAATAAAGAATAAAATAATTTTTCAGACGATATACGATAAGAAAAATGTAATTAGTTTAGTTAAAAACATATGTAAAAGATTTCTAAATTGTAACAATAGAATAAACTTAATAGTCACGAAAAGAATAGAACTTGACTATATAACAATTAATATATAAAATCACGATAGAAATATTTAATATTATGACATTGATTTTCTCTAAGATCTAAAGTGATAATTGACAGACATCGATTATTGAATACCTTTTTATTACTGACTTAAATTTCGTTTACTCAAGTATATGTAATGATACCAATTTAATTTCTTATCAAGTGTGATGCCAGAAGACTTGCTAGGAACATAGATATCCTAAGACCATTAAGAATGGAGAAGGAGCCACTACTGAAAAGGTAGGGTTCATGACATTGAAGAGAGTCGACTCTTGTTGGAGAAAAATGAAAATTCTTTAAGATTGGGGGTTCTCCTTCCCCGCTCAGGACATCCTTAACTAGAAAGGCACAAACTAATGAAGAATGAACATTGTAATAATTATCATACGGTTATAAGGCATATGCCTTCATGTTTTATTGTCGGATACAAAACACCACCGAACAGATGCTATACTGAGGGAGAATAGTCGTCCTCATTACTTTCATATGCAAGAAATTGAACAGATAGTGCAAAAAAAACGATAAATCATATTCGTGAATAGTACAATCTACATACATGTTCGATGACCTAATATTGAATATGAAAATTATTTTGCCCAGAAACTCAAAATTATTGACTACTCTAGGATTTTATTAAAGTGTCAATAAATGCCACAGGGTGTTAATATATATGCCGAAAAGTATTTGTCAAATGAAATGATTCTCATGATAGGATGATCAACAAAAGGAGGATGAAATATGCAGTATATTATAATAATTAGTGGTGTTTATAATACTATTATGTTACATTAATATCGTTTTTTTTTTTGAAAAAAATATTTATCATCTATGAAATTAAAGTAGATAACGTTATAATTAATAAAAATTCTCTTTGCACTATAAGTTCGATAAAAAAGTACCAAACGTATTTTATTTCAAAACACATGAAAACAATGAGAAAAATAACCTTCGAAATACGATACAATATTAAAATACATAAACATGCAAAAGAGAATGAATATTTGTTAAGATGAGTGAAAGTTACAAACATGAGATAAAATTGAATATCCAATCTTAGTAAGAGTTTTTACTATAGATGCTTTTGATAATCTCTAAATTAAGTATGAACTTTCATCAATTTTTTAAAAATAGCATATGAGAAAATAAATCAAATACAAACTTTAAGCAGATCATTTTTTGAATCTATTTGCTAAAAATAAAGAAGGTAATTTTATCTATACTTCTTAGATTCTATTATCTTTTCATGTCATTATTATGAATTGATGATGATACGTAAATCTTTAAGTTAAGCTTGTTTTTTTGCCATTCTTCAATTCATTACATTAATTTTTTTTTGAATCTACATCATCCTTTTTTTTTAATAAGAAAAAAAAAACTCGAAAATCATTAGAACAGCTGATTGATTTATTCAGAAAATAAGATATTTTGAACACTATTTATTCTATCTTACCTTATTATTTATATGTTCTTATTCTTGTCAAACTATGGTAATAAATGATCTTTCATTAAAATGTCAATATTGTTCTTAATTATATCAAGTTCTATTTTAAAATCATTTAATTTATTCTTCAATATATGGTAATTTCCTTCGTAGTATACTTCCTTGTTGTTGTTAATATTGTAGTGTTTGCTTTTAAATGTCAAGCATCTGGTTGACTTGACTATTGGCAATCAAATTTTACAATGAATACTCACAATGAAAGAAGTCAAGCTTGTCAAAAACTAAGCCCGAAAAGAATGCGTGTCCGATGAAAATATTTCCATAGAAAATAATATTTCAATAGAGTTAATCTAGAATATGAGACATACCAAATTCTCTAGAGACATACGGATAGAAATATATAAGTGCAATTAGTTTTTTTTTTCTTTAGCCTCAAAAAAAAAGCTTCAAGATCGATAGTTATAAATAAAATAGGGACACTTGAATAATGAGAAAACATACTTTGCCAAAAAGAAGTTGACACAAGAATTATAATATAAAATACATTTGTAGGAAAATGAAATCTATATCATACAATGAATTGGTTCTTTTTTTTTCTAATAAAATTGCTATTTTTTGCGGCATGTATCTGATGTATAAGTTATTCTAGTGTAATTCTGTTGTAATGAAAAATTAAGATAGAAAAATGTTGGAAATCATCTGTTCATTAAATAAATACTGAAACTCATGTTTACATTGTTATTCTAAGACGTCATAACTCAAGATGATGATTATAAACTCTACAAAAGATTGTAGACGACAGAGTTTAGCGCTGCTTTACCAAGTTTTTGATTATAAAGAATCATCACTAATCGCTCACATATAATGGCCGTCAAAATGATCCGCCTACTAGATAATTTTATTTTGTATTGTAAATGTACTCAAAAAACTAGATGAGTTAGAATAACCTGATTTTTGTCAGATTACAGTCCATAGTCTCTAGTATACTACTAATAAAAAAAGATTAGATCAATCTGTTAATCTGTATAGTTTTTATTGACGATACAATCTCAGCATGATGATTTTCAACTTTCCGAAATTATTCAATCACTCATTGCTTTTTGAAACTGTTGCATACCTTTTCTAAGTTGAAATATTCTGTGTGTTGCATAATTCAGCAGAAAGAAATGTGTTCTACTTAAGGAATAATTTTTGTCTTAGCTTTCTTTTATCTAGTGATTAAAAAATCAATGTTGTTTCGATCAATATAGGAAACTGTCAACAAAAAAGACGAGAAAAAACACTTTTCCAAATGGTGTTTGACCAAGTTTTTTATTTAATTCTCTATTAACAAGTGCATTACAAATTACATGAATTGTTATATTTGAGTAGATATTTCATGATGGAAAATAATTTTAGTCTGTCTCTTGTGTATATATCTATTTCAGATAGACCTTCGTGTACGATCTCATTCACACATTGAAGAAAGTATTTTACAAAAATTGTTTTAAAAAGCGCGAATTTATATTGAATCATTTTTTCATAAAAAATTCTTATATTTGTAATCAAAAGGAATTATATCATCTAAGTTATATACTTTTGTTACGTCATAGATAATAGGAGTAAAAAGCTTACTGTAGTCCAAGCAATAGACTGAATATATGTTTCATCAAACAAAGATGTATCAAATGAAACTTATAATAGTGAGTTGTTCTAATTTGAATCCGCTATCTACGTAGGCGCGACGTGCAAAATTTAAACATGTATTTAATAAGATCTGTTACTCAGACTACGCTAAACTTTTTCTTTCTACTATTTATAACATGACAAAGATATATAACTTAAGGTACATAAGCGATTTTAGTTTCAAATATAAGAATTTTCTATGAAACAAGATCTCCAACAACTCTACTCCGCTCAAATAATATTTTATATTTCGTTCATCGTGTTAGTGAGACTGTACAAGAAGGCTTATCTATGATTGTTGTATACACAGGAGACGACTAACACTATTTTCCAGCATTAAATATTCATTCAAATAGAATTAATTCATGCAATTTGTAGTGCTCATCCTAATGGTACATAGAAAAATAAAATTGGCTAAACATCATATAAAAAAAGTGCTTTTTTGTTGACTATTTCCGGTAGGGGTCAAAACAACATTTTGTATATAATGGGGTGGAAGCGCAGATTGAAATAAGTATGTAATGAAAGAGTATAGAACTGCAATAAAAAACATTTTATTTTTGATTTCAAGCTTTCAACAATTTACAATTGACATCATCTGAAAATCATTAGAAAAAAACAAAGTTAAGCTATATATATATATACAAAACAAGGGATAGAACAGAATAAAACATAGGAAAAAAATATTACAATATCAATTTATACATCAAAGCTGACACAATTACAGCTTCACTAAACTTTAAATTAATTCGAATTAAGTTAAAGTATAGTGAAGCTATAATTGTGTTAGCTTTGATGTATAAATTGATATTGTAATATTTTTTTCCTATGTTCTGTTCTGTCCTATGCTTTGTTTTGTATATTTCGTGCCGAAGTTACACTTTTTGTCGAAGTTATTTTCTATGATTTAATTCAATACCAATCATCAAGAGATGACCATTATCATGTTAAAGCACATGATTAAAGTTGATTTTTCAGCTCAACAATATTTTTAGCTACATTTATTAATAAATATTTTGAAAAGTGTACAAATCCTTAAGAACAGAAACCTGTTATTTTGCTAATGCTTTCCTATTTTCCATTCAGGTCAATATTTCTGGTTCCCGAAATTGTGGGTATCCAACAGAAATCCGTCGAAAAACTCAGGAAAATGGTAGGAACTTCGAAGCGAGAATTCGATGATCAAATCTGATAGCTAGATTCTTCTAGTTCCGACTAGAAACGACTGTAACTAGAAAAAACCAGCCACCGGATGTAGTCATCGGTTTGCTGCTTCCAATTTCCTACCAGTTTCCCGAGTTCTGTGGTAGGAAACAGCCTATATTTCTTGACAGGGGGATTCAAAGGTGTGGAAGTGGGACTGAAGGTAGAAGTGTGGGTATGGATGTACGTGCGGGTGTAGGCATGGTAGTAGATACCAGAGATGGAATCTGTTCTTGATTTTTAGAACGGATGCGAAACGATCTATCTTTTAACATCTGTGAATTGAGCTGAGTCAGAACTAGAAGACAAGTGAACATGTATATTTTGAGGTGATTGAATTAATTTTGGAAGAATGAAAACCAGCATACTGAGATTTTATCGTCAATAAAAACTAAATAGATCAATGGATCAATCTGAAATTTGTTTACTAATATATCAGAAACTAAAGGCTGTAATCTGAAGAAAATCAGATTATTCTAGCTCATCCAATTTTTGAGATCTACACAAAATAAAATAAAATAATCTACTAGTAGAATGATTTTTGATAGTCACTTTACGTAGTTTGCATGATATTGAGGTCAATCTTGACATGTCATCCACGATTAATAATGATTCTGAAAATGGCTCAGAAGGTTCAGTATACAATAGTTTATCATCGTTTACGACAGAATGACATACGATTGTAATACAATGCATACCAAAACAATGATGTACAATTGAAAACGATCATTTATGACCGTTTTTATTCGATATGACCAATGAACTCTTATAGTCTCAACATTTCACTAGTTAATAATCATCTCATTAACTTGAATTTTATGTTGTTATTATCTTACCGAGTTGTTACTTGCGTTTTTGATGATTATCGACTGAGTAGGAGTTTTTTTCTAATTGTCTCAAGAGATTTTTCACTTAAAAAAATATTCACCGATAAAATGAAAGAGTTAAAACATATCAACGATTCTAATTAATTATGGTTTGGTGACTAATAAGGAGGATAGATTCGGGTACATGATAAATAATGATAAAACATGATCTAGTAGTTAAGTAGTATACAAATATTGATAACAAAATATTTGTAACATACTAACGGTACCAGTTATCCACTGGAAAGAAAGATGAGCTGCATACTCAGATAATCTTAGTAAATTTTTTCGGAAAGTACCTAGAATTATTATCATTTTAAACATCGATGTAACGTTAGTCATTGTCAATTAAGAAAAGCTCTTGTGCAACCGCACCATTATACTATGTGCACATGCATGAAACTTAATGGCATGATACGCGTTTATAAGCATAAAAATTAAGGCATTTACATATTTAGTATTCTTGCATGCGAGACCAGACAAATATTTTTTTCTAGGGATTTGGCATGTAAAGACATTAAGACTAATTCGTATCGACGCAAGAGAGAGCTAGAATACTTATAAGACAAAGCACGTGTACTAAATATGCATGAACACAAAAGAGTTTTTATCATACATACATAATTTAGATCCTAAGTAAAACTTCTTCATTACTGAGACATCTACTTACAGCAGGACTCAATCCAAATCTGTCGAATATAGTGATCATCCGATCACTTTCCTGATGCACATGTGCATGAATACTAGCAACTCTAGAGTATTTCAGAAAATGAACACTTGTTTTTGGCTAATACTATGTAGTTATATAAGAGGGCAAATACATTTTAACAAGAAATAAGAAATGATACGTTAAAGACGAAACTAAATTCTTGCATAAGTCCGTATTTACATGCATTGTAACATAGTAAAGTTTTGAAGACCAATGTAGAATCGTTTCACTATGATTTTTCGTAAATATAACTTATTTTTTTCTTCATTGAGAAGCAAGCTTCAGCCAAGTTCTAGTCATCTTGTGGCTACACACAGCAGATGTCTAGGTCTATTGTTTCTGGAATATCCGTTATTTTAAACATGGAACTAGATATAAGATTCGTATGCATAACCTATCAACTAAAGAATTTAAACGAAGTTCTTGAGAGAAAGAAAATCTGCTTAGATATGAGATAACACTTTTAAATTGAAGTTTCAAAGTTCATTTTCAACTTCGTGAGAAATAAAACTAAAATAAGAAATCATGAAAAGTCAATATTTATTCATTCATCGTCTAATCCTACGAACATTCAAATATTAAATTTGAAATATGATCCTTCCGATTATGATAACAAAAATAAAATGAAATCAGTATACTAACATTCAACACCAACTTACCAGTATTGTCATAAATATATATATCAGTTGAAAACATGTTTTTATTTATCTTCTTGTCTTTTATAAATTACTCTAATCTGTCGATTTTAATTCTCTTAGTCATTTAAAATAAGAAAGTACTAATCAAATACTGTCTGTAAAAGACATCATCAAGCAATCAAACAACAAATCTTTTTTGTGATCACATACATATATGAATGGCACTATAATATATAACTATATCAATCGTTTTTTTATTAGTTAACAACCGATCAAAAGATGTTCAAATCATTTCCATTACGTTGTTGTTGTAAAAATTACTGTTGGGACTGTTGTTTGAATGAAGATGAAATTAAAGCTAAGCGTAAGAATAAAGAGCGCAGACAAGAATGCGCACAAAATTTTCATAAAAGAAAAGCAATTCTTTTAGGTAAGTACTAATATTTTACTTTGATTATGCAATGAAAGAATTGTTTTTCAGGAAACGCGGAAGCTGGAAAGTAAATTCGCATATATTGATATATTCTTGACTCATTTCATTTTTGCAATATAGATCAACATTTCTCAAACAAATGAAATTTATGTATGGTCGAGGTTATAGTATCGAAGAAAGACGTCAACTGATTCCAATTATCAATAAACAAATAGTTGATATTATTTGTTGTATTTGTCATGCAATGAAAACTCTTTACATTCCATTTGAAAAACCTCAAAATGAAGTATGACATATATTGAAATTAACTAAAAATAGAAAGTAGTAGGTTGTGTAGAATTATGCTTGTTTATTGAGTACAACAAATAGCGATGATGATAATTATGAAAGTATATTGACGCTATCACCACAAATGATTGATGCTATCAAGCATATCTGGTCGGATGAAGGTATTCAATTATGTTATCGTCGACGACGAGAATATCGATTGACAGATTCAGCTAAATAGTAAGTATTATGAACTAATAACTTATATTAAGAGAATAGAAAGAATTCTATTCTTTCTTTTCTTTTCAAATATTTATAATTTTGATTATATCTCAATTAGTTATGTTTCTAAAACGGTATTATCATGTAACTAATTTTAAAAGTCAAATTCGAGTCTAGCTTACATTTTAATACACAAGATACTTGAAGAAATGATTGATGAAATGATATTTATATTGTCTTTAGTTTTTTGGATAACATCAGCAGAATTTCCGGAGAGAATTATATGCCAAATGATGATGATATATTAAGAGTACGTATTCCAACAACTGGTATCATTTCAAAAGATTTTCAATTTTTTCCTTATCATTTACAGTAAGACGTAGTTAGTTTTGAAATATAATTTATAAATAATATTCATCATAGGATTGTTGATGTTGGTGGACAAAAGAGAGAACGTCGAAAATGGATTCATTGTTTTGATGTAGGAAATTTTCTAAGATATCTTAAACTAATTTTATAGTTTATTCTTTATTTAGAATGTGACAACTATCATTTTCTTTGCATCTCTTATTGAATATGATCAATATATTGCCGACGATCCTTCTAAACAAGTATAATCAATTGAATAAAGTGTATAAAAATCATAGTGAAAATTTGTGTTTTAGAACTTAATGGAAGAAAGTTTGGCATTATTTCATATTATTCTATCATCAGATTATTTTTCCAATGCATCTATTATTCTTTTTCTTAATAAAACTGATCTATTTCCAGAACGAATTGCTAGTAAACCTCTTCGACATGTCTACCCTGAATTTGATGGTAGGTACAGTATAACCAATGAAAAAAATATGTGCTGATGATCTATTTTGAAATTGTTTTTCTCCATACGATGTATAGGTGCAGATGATGATGTTGAAGCTGCAAAAGAATTTATCAAGAACAAGTATCTGAGTTTCATACCAAATACAAGATCTGTTGAGGAGAATACTCATCCTCATTTTACATGTTCTATCGGTAAAGTTTTTGTACATTCTTCTTTTTGCCTTTAAGACATCTATCTTTGTTTGTCTGATTTTAGATAGAAAAAATATTGAAATCGTTTTCCAGGAAGTTAAAGAAGCCATTTTCGCTGACATCATAGACCAGTTTTAAACTATGTAATCATATATAATGTTCAATGATTTTTTTATATAAAAAAACAATCAATATCTGTTCGAAAACAGAACCATCGAGGTGTTATGATCTATTTCAATAAGTCAATACAAAATTAAAATAAAAACTGTACAAAAAGAAAGGAGCAGAAAAGAAAAAAGAAGATATTCATCAGTAGTGTCACTATCTAAATGTAATTAATGTTGTTCCCTATGGTTTTTAAATACTTAGCAAACTCTCGAAATATTAAAGCAAAATTTATTCTATCAAAATTGAATAGAATAATATTGGCATGTCTAGATTTGTGTTCTCTTATTTTATTACTTTTTATTTTTATTTTAATCTATTGCTGTCTATGCATAATTTATTTAATGAATTATATATATTTTAATCGTATTGATACAGATCAAGCATAAGAATATGAATTAATGTTACGATATATTTTTGAATAAGGAAAATGTTTTTTTAAAAACTTTTGCAATCTTCGTGAATGTGATAAAGTCGTAATTTTTGTTTCTAAATACTTGCCACAAATGCAAGATGGGGAAAAAAATATTTTCATTGTCAACAGAAGAATAATCTTGCATATGTAAAACTTATTTTTGTCAATATATTTCTTATAAGAACCAACAGAAAGAAAAAAAGTAATAAATTCGTTACTCCATAATATAATACTGATCAAGATACAGGCATGAAATATGGGACTATTAACGTTGAACATATACGATTATTAAAGATTGGCTCTAATATTAATTAAAATCGAACTATGATCATTTTCTTAAGCTTTTGTTTCACTATGATATAATCTGAATTTAATGCACAGAAAAACATCATTGGCAACTAAATATAGTATTCTATTATTATTAATTCGCTTAGAAAAATACTAAAAATTCGGTTCTTTATTAGCCTTGATCAGATTGAAACGTTATAACACAACATATTTACATCTTTTATAAATTTTCTTTCTTTCCAGAACGTACGGAACCCGTTTAATCTTAAATAATTTTTCAAAAACTTTTTTTATTTATTTCGGAAGAATTTATTATGGAGATTTTGTTTTAAATTAAATTATTCTAAGTGTTTCTATTTATTTAATATGAAAATTTACTCTTTGTACGATTATTGTTTATCGTATTTCACTTCCTTTACTGCGATCAGTTTATAGACAAGGAAAATTTTTCACTTTAATGAGAAGGCGATTAAGCATGATCGTGCGTCATTTTTTCTTTCGTTTCTATACAGAATACTCGCACGAAATCATGTTTTTTTTTAATTCTCTCTTTATGTTGTCTCAGCAATCATCGATAATAAGTCTTACTGTACTATTCAGCCATACAAAAACATGAAAGCAATAAAACAAAATTTGCATCGACAAAAAAATATCGTTAAGTATATGGTCCATAGGGCATTTTGCTGAGGATTTACATATGTATATATTGAATTGGCATTTTTTATTCGTTTTATTTTTCAGACTAATAATTTAGATTGTCGTCATAAAAATGATGTTTAACCGATTTCTTCCATCTTGCTGTAAGAATTATGTATGTGATTGTTGTCTAACTGAGCAGGAGATTATTAATAAAAATATTGACGAATATATTAAACAATGGCGTCGACAAAATTTACATGAAAGAAAATTACTTCTCTTAGGTAAATGATGATATTACGTGATATTTATGTATATAATAAGTTTGTTTTTTTTTTTTTGTTAAAATCATTTGTTTTTAGGAAATGCGGAGGCTGGAAAGTAAGTTTGTATAGGATCAATTAATTTCAATTTGATTTTCTTTAATTAGATCGACATTTCTCAAACAAATGAAATTAATTCATGGTCAAGGTTTTAAAGAAGATGAAAAACGTCGACTTATTCCATTTATCTATCGACAGATACTTAGTGTTGTTCGATGTATTTGTCGAGCAATGAAGATGCTTCACATTAGATTTGAAAATGAACGAAATGAAGTATGATTATAAATGTAATTATAGTTAAATAAAATAAACAATTTCATTTATATAGGAATATGCTCGTGTATTGAGTTCATCAACTTATGATGATGCTGAAGATAGTATATCAACATTATCACCTCGAATGGTTGAAGCTATTCGATATATTTGGTCCGACGAAGGTGTTAAAACATGTTATGGTCGACGACGAGAATATCGATTACCTGATTCGGCCAAATAGTAAGTCTTGTGAATAAATTACTGATAGTTTAACAAATGAATATTTTGTTTTTGTTTATCGATTACATGATCTTAAAGATTGATTTTCAAAAGAATAATTTTTTTATAATAGAGTCTATGTGTTTCTTACTCAGAGAAGATGTTGAATGATATTATTGATAACATAATTCTTTTTTTCCTAGTTTTTTGGATGATATAGATCGAATTTCTGCACAAAATTTCACACCAAATGAAGATGATATATTAAGAGTACGTATTCCAACAACAGGTATCGTTCAAGAAGATTTTGAATTTTCTCATGTTCGACTTCGGTAAGATATATTTCATGACAATTTATGAACATGTTTGCTATTTATTAAATTTTCATAATAGAATTGTCGATGTTGGTGGACAAAAGACAGAACGTCGAAAATGGATTCATTGTTTTGATGTATGAATTTTCTAAGATATTTTAAATTGATTTATATTTCATTCTTTCTTTAGAGTGTAACATCTGTCATTTTTCTTGCATCTCTCCTTGAATATGATCAAAAAGTCGATGATCAACTGGAACAAGTCTCTAATATTTAATATGAAAATTTCTCAAAATTATGATTGAAATTTATGTTTTAGAATTTAATGGAAGAAAGTCTGGGATTATTTCGTGTTATTCTAAAATCAGATTATTTTTGCAATGCATCTATTATTCTTTTTCTTAATAAAACTGATCTATTTCCTGAACGCCTTGCTGGCAAGCCTATTCGATATGTCTATCCTGAATTTGACGGTAATCTTATAACAGCAAATAGAAATGAATGATTATGATTTGTTTTTTTTTTCTTTTTTTCTATGTGATTTATAGGTGCTGATAATGATGTTCAAGCTGCTAGAGAATTTATCAAAAATAAATATTTAAGTTTAGTACCAAAAAGTGAACGATATACAGAAAAAAATATCTATCCTCATTTTACATGTTCTGTTGGTAAGCATTTGTTTTATTTTGTTATCAACCAATTAGTTTAATCTGATTCAATTTAGATAGCAAAAATATTCGAATTGTTTTTGAATCTGTCAAAGATACGGTTCTTGCACATAATCTCTACTACTGGACACCATACTGAATTTTCTATTATATATATTTATATTAATATGGATTTCTATTTGAAAAAAATAAATGTCAGATCAAAAAAAAAATAAACAAACATGACCATGCATAATTTTTTCTTTTATCATTCATTTCAATAACTCGGATACAGAAAAAAAGAGAAAACACAAACTATGCAAAAAAAAACAACAAAAGATATCGATTAATGCTCATCAACAGTTTCATCATCCCAATTCACCAAACTATGTCGAGCACTCAAACCATCTTGTTCGCCTAGTAACCAATATGTTCTTTGTTTTCCTTTACCCTAATAAATAGATTTCATAATGAAATAAATTAAGAAATAAGTACCAAAAAAAAACAAACAAACCTTCATTTCGATATCACCACGGAATTTTAATTCAAATGTACCAAATTTTTCTAAAATAGCTGTTGTACTAGATGATACATGAATACGTAATGCTTTACCATTTGATTCCATGCGGGATGCAGTGTTAACCTTTAAAATTAAAAATAATTCAATGTCAGATTTATAAAAAAAAAAAAAAATAACTTACAGTATCACCAAACAGACAATATCGTGGCATTCTAAGGCCAACGACACCAGCTACACATGGACCTGAATGAATACCAATACGTAATAATAATTGTGTATCAGGTCGATGTCGAATACGAAAAATGAGTACAGCATTGAGAAGAGCTAATGAAAGACGAGCTATTTCTCGAGCATGTAAATCTCCATTACGTGTTGGTAGACCAGAAACGACCATCTATTTAATACAAATATAATTAATCTTCTTCTTTTTCTTTTGTTTTTTTTTATTCTTGATAGAAACAGAAAAAAAGACAATCTTACATAAGCATCACCAATTGTTTCAACTTTATAAACATCATAATTTTCAGTAACACCATCAAAAACTGAATAAAGATCATTTAAAAGATCAACAACTTGTAATGGTGTACTTTCAGATGATAATTTCGTAAAACCAACAATATCAGAAAAATAAATCGTAACACATTCAAATGATTCAGCTGTTACTGGTTGACCGATCATTAATTGTGAAGCAACAGTTCTATATGAATATATTTCAAAATAAAAACTTTCTTTTTTCGAAAAATATTTCTTATTTCATATAATTAAAAGAGAAAATATTGATAAAAACTTATTTTCTTGAAATTACTTATCATAACGAAAAAAAAAAGAAACGAAAAATTAAAAACTTTCTCGAAAAAAATCTTATAATAATTAAATGTGTGTGCACGATTTATTATTTGTTGATTACATAAAAATCTTATTTCAATTAGCATTTTTCTTGTGTGAGGATTTACTTTTCGTTGAATGTCGAAAAAATAAAATCATAATAGATGAATGTTTAATGATATTGTAGCAACGTTATAGTGAAGATTGTATCGATATTCTAACGTTTTTGAAAGCTGCTAGATCGAGATATTTTCAACTTTCATGAAAAAATTAAACAGTCATCTCTTTTTGTTATTTATTCAGATATTTATTGGAATTCTTTTTGTTTGTTCTGACAATAGATTGATTGTCGTAATGACTACTCATTTCTCTTCTTTCAAATAAACAATACACAGTGAATTGTGTAAACTAATTAAATGATGTGTTTATTTGTAAATCTTTTTTCTATTAATCATCATAAAAAATAATAATAATACTATTTTTCGGTCAATGACAGATGTGTTATTTTAAAAAAATAAGCAGTCACTTCATTACTCAGTTTATTGACTATATAATGCAGTACTAAGATGAAATACAATGATAAATAATGATTGCCTTTAACTGTTGAAAACGAAAAATTCTATATGACTGTCTGTTGTATGTCAAACAAAACAGTTAATCATAATCAGCACTAGTATGAAAAAATGACCTATGTATATTTGAAGCTGTAGTAGAGTCAGGCTTTTGGGCTAGGAGCTCAATCTCTCCGGCAAGATTTTTAAGAGATGTATTTTTTTTTTGATACAAAAATGTATTAGTCTTTGCAATGAAACGGTTTCACACATAGATCTTATTTTGTGAAATTCATATGTGTTTTCAAAGAAGAAGAAATACAGTAAATATAAGTTTCAATCAGGTCTTTTATTTATTGTATTTTCTTTTCTTTGAAAACATATACGCGTTCTACAAAATAAAATCTATATATTAAAACGTTTCATTGCAAAGACTAATACATTTTTGTATCAGAAAAGAATACATTTTCCAAAAGTCTCGTCAAATGGAGTCTCAAAGATCCTTAGGGTAGGTCTAAAGAGAGAATTTATCCAAGTGTCAACTCACTTTTCGACCGAGATGATGTTCATTTGGTGAGTGTTAATGAGTAATAGAAAAGTCTATAATGGCTAGTTTTTCCGAGTCTTCATTCTTGAGACATCAAAAGTTTACTGGATTTTCTAACAAAGCTGTGATCCTACTTAGATCACGTGAAAAATCGATTTTCAACTTCAAACTTCGCACGAATAAAGCTCTCAATGAGATTAATTCATTGGACAAATTGTAACTTTTGTAGTATCTTCTATTCTGACATGTTGAACATTCGAAATTTTCTCATGTGTAAAAGCAAATATTGTTCACATATTTATATCTTCAAAAACGAAATACTACAAAACCTAAAAATTGACAAATGAAATAATTCCATTGAGAACTTTGTCCGTGCAAAGTTTGAAATCGAAACTTGAAAGTCGATTTTTCACATGACCTAAGGGTGACTACAGCTTTTTGTTGAAAAACTCAGTAAAATTGTGATATCTCGAGAACGAAGGTTTAGAAAAGTAAACTGTTCTAGATTTTTCTATTACTCGCTAGCATTCATTATATCAATATCGTCTCATTCGAAGAGCGATTTAACAACTGAAGAGACTTCCTTGTGAATGAACTTTTCTCTCTCCCTCCCTCTGCTGATTTCGCTACTGATTTAAAGTAATCAGATATATTTATACGATATACATGGTTTATTCTGTCATTTATCTGATATCTATCATTGAATGTAACACAGAAATTCTGCTCAAATTAATAAAATTTTCTATTAGAAAAAACTATTGATAAGAAAGAATGTTTATAATATATTTAAATACTTACGCAGGTAATAATTGATAAAGTAATTCTTCGGCTTTCTTTTTCTCAGCTAAATAATCACTTGTACGTTCTTCAACAAGACCCTTGAGAAGAAAGGAAAGATTTGAATTTTTAATTAATTTTAATAAAAATTAATTCTAAACTAACTTCAAGATTATTTGCATATTGTTCCATACGTTTAAGTAAATTATCAAGAATATTTCCACTTTCTCCATCTCTAAAAAACAAAAAAGAAAAAGAAAAAAAATTTATTCTTTTTCAATATCGATATTTTTATATTTACTTATTTATTCGACGCATAACGTGTCGAATATCAGTAAAATCTGGTCTTTCATTTGGATCTTCACTCCAACAACGTTTCATCAATTGTCCTATTTCAATACTACATTCACCAGGTTCAATTGATGGTCGAAGTAAACTACCAGATTTAACATCTTCAACAATGGCTATTGATAAGGAAAAAAAATTATTTTCGTAAATAATTCTATCCATAATAAAATAATTCTACCAGCTGGTTCTAATTGTTGATCTCGTAAGTAAAAAGGTCCATTACGTAATTCAATTTCTTGTAAAATTATACCAAAACTATACACATCACCTTTAGCTGTACCTGCAGCTGGTGGATTTGAATCTCGTAATAATTCTGGTGCTTTCCATAATCGATCTAAAATATAAATAAAGAAAAATTTTCTTGTAATAAAAAGAAAAATATCTAAAAAAGGATTATCATACTTCTATAATATGTATAATCTCTATCAACACCTGGTGATGAATCTTTATTTGTATTTGATCGTAATGTTGGTAAACCAAAATCAGTTACTTTACAAATAAACCGACTATCAACAACACAATTTGAACTTTTTAAATTTCCATGTGATCCAATTTGACTATTATGTATATGTTGCATACCCTAGATAAAAATATTTGATTTATTTTAAATTAATTTAAAAAATAAAATAAAATACTTTGACAATATCATGCATGATGGAATGTTTAAACATTGTATCAAGTTTAATTTCATCATTTTCAAGAATATCCTTATTAAAAGAGAAAAAAAAACAACAAAAAGACAAATGAAAATAAAAATAATTTCGAAAATATTAAACCTCTAAACTGCCTTTTGGACAATATTCTGTTACTATATATTGATGTTTTGGATCAATACATATTCCAATAAAACGAGCTATATGGTCATGTGTAAGATCTTGCATCTAGAAAAATTTATTAATGAATCTTTTTTAATAAAAGGCTTTTCTTTTTCTACTCAACTGCTTTAACTTCTAATTGAAGTGCACGTGTTGTTTCAAGTTTTCCTTTATAAAATCGTTTAAGAGCAACAATTGATGACTAAAAATTAAACAAAAAAAAAAAAATAGAAAACCTTTTTCAAATAAAATAATAATTATTTTTACTTTATAAACAGCTGTTTTTGTAAATGTTTGTTTCGCTATTCCACCTGATTCACTATCAGCTGAACGATAACTTGAAACAGAACTACGCTAAAAAAAATAAATAAACAAAAAAAAACAACAGCAAAGTTAGTCTTCAATTCAAATTAAAAAGAAAAAAAAACGAAACAATCGAGCACCGATAACATGCAAAAAAAAAATAATAATAAATATACGCAAAGTATTGTGCGAAGTAAATATAAAAGGACAATGTTCAGTTATATATAGATATATATATATATATATGTAAACGTGTTGATGTTTAGTACAATAAAGAAATGATTTTAATAGAGATTAATAAATCTCTACAATCATTTCAACGACCGAAAAAAGACAGTGATAAAAACTTTGTGCAGACCAAATAACAGGAAAAAAAATTGAGAGAGAGAGAGAGAGAACTTTTCGAACGAAAAAGTTCAGGAAAAATGCTCACATACTCACTGACTTCCGTTCTGTTAAATCCTGACAATTAGT